GATAGAAGGATGTACTCGTGGAGATGGTTGCAAATTTTCTCACGATGAAAACGTAAGAAAGAACAATAATCTCAGATATGTAAAATTTGAATCAAGATGTTCGTTTAATGATTCTTTATATGGACAGAGAGGTGCCAATACCGGCTGGGGTCACGAAGACCGTAGAAGTTCCAGGTGAGATCAAGTAAAGATCACAATTGATGTAGAGGATAAGGAGGGATTGTTCATATTGATATCCAAGTGGTAATGCTATACATTGATTAATAGTTTCCGAGTTGTAGCTAGAATCTATGGGCAATAAGATTTGTTGACCATTAGCTTACACATAGATGTTTTGCTCTGTATATGTCAATCTTATTTTCAGTATTCACCTTCACATTTACAGATTGATTAGTATATGAAATACAGAGTTGATTTGGTTTAGACTTTAGACAGGAGACCGTTTCTTGAGTTTCTTGGCTATTCCTGCAAAGTACTTGCCATGGTAATTTGCCTGCTGAATCTCCAGCTCTGTTGGCTCCCGTGATCCATCAGCTGCATAAGTCCCTGAGCCATACGGGGAACCACCTTTCACCTCTCCCATCTCGTACATGCCTTTACCGAATGTGTATCCTACCGGTACAAATATCATCCCGTGATGAGCCAGTTTTGTCACTGCCGTCAACCTGCAGATTAAAATCAATCACTTGCATGAGTTCTTCTAACATGTCTATGTGTTAGGAGGACTATGTTCTTACGCAGTTAGTTCTTGGCCTCCACCGTGGAAACCCGTACTCCAGAAGAGTCCCGCAGGTTTCCCAGCGAGAGCCTGTGTAGTCCAGAGATCATTTGTATTGTCAAAGAAAGTCATGACCTGTGATGCCATCACTCCAAACCTAGAAGGAAAGCCAAACATGAATCCGTCGGCTTCCGCCAGTTGTTCTGGTCGAATATCCGCCACATCGTCCGGTCTTGGAACGGCCTTCACTTTCTCCAGTATTTTCTCCGGTAATGTCTCTGGCACTTGCCAGAGTGTTGCTTCCACGTCTGGAACAGAGTTTGCTCCTCGGAGAACCTCTCGTGCCATTGTCTCGACATGGCCGTGCAAGGAATAGTACCTACCAGGAAAACCAAAAAACCAGGTTTTTCGTCAAAACAAAACTGGTATGAGGACCGGCACAGAATCTCGTTCTGTCTGAGCCAGTAGTTTAGAGAATCGCAGATTACTGTTGACTGGAAATGATCGCCAGTTGATGAACTTGGCATGGATTGGTTTAATGAAACTCACACTATATAAATCTTGGTGACAGCCATTGCTTAGTAGGGCTTGAAGTTGCAGACAAAACAAGAACTCCTGTCCCTGAAACTAAGAACATGAAAACTTGTGAGATCCGCTACTTTCCGATGATCGTAATGAAAATGTATATATCGACGAAAAGACAGTTATATATTCCTCTTTTAGGACCAATAATTGATCTAACATGTTTGATTTTCCCACCGTCACAACTTTGACTAAATTTAGTCTAAATGGGAATTATACAAAAACTGACATTACTGGATTTCCAAATTAGAATCGGCTCCAATGCAAAAAGTAGCAATTCTGAGAAGTAACTAACCTTTGTGAAAAGGTCCAAGGAAGAAGAGGAGAATAAGAAACAGTTTGAGGTTCGGAGTTAGCTTCGGGGATGTTCAAGAACAATACGTCTTCAGGATTGGTGAAGATGATCTTTTAAGAACTACAGATGACGTGGCAATGAGTTTGACCGACCATTTTCTTCTATTACATGGGCTCATTATCTTCAAGCCCAAGAAGACGATGTAAGGGCATCGGGGGAGCGCTCTTTACGAGCTCTTTCAAATTTTTTATTATAAATTTTAAGAAAATGTTTGATGAGAATTTTTGTTTTTCTTTTTAATTTTTCTGTGTCTAATGGTATGTTCTTTAGTGGGGTTCTCTTCGAAAATTTTTTTTATAAAATTTTTTATTTTATAAAACAATAATTATTGCAATTCATAAAAATATTAAACATACATTATTTTCAAACATTTAAAAAAAGATTTGCAAAAACAAAACCGGAATAACGATTAGTTGTACTCTTGATTGTTGCGAAATTTTTGTCATATATGCTCAACCAAATCAGCTTTCAATTACTGATGCATATCATGATCACAAATGCGATTTCAAATGCCCATCATATTCCCGAGATTTGTAAGCATTCCCGATTTTTGACAGTTTTTTTTTTTTCAAACCATATAAACTATTTTCACTTATTTTATGTGTTATGCCATTGTTTAATGTCCCTTGTTTTTGCTGGGACATGGCTTTTAAATTGCTATGAACGTTTCTTCTAAAGTGTGGGGCACTTCACAAGCATTTTTAATGTTCTTGTTAACTCACATACCCTCAAGAAGATAAACGAGTGTAGGTATTAAGTAACAACGCTAAATGCTAAACAATTTCGCTACATCTACCAAGGCCAACACGGAAACAGAGTCGAGCCACATTTCAGACTTATTAAACAAAACAAGCACAGATCATGTAAAAACCAACGATGATAAAGAGACAAGTAGGATATAATTCCAGTAGAGAAGAAATTCGATTTGTCATTAAAAAGAACAGAGGAGATAAGAATGGAAACATAGTTCATCAATTATTTCTCATGAGCTTTACAAGGCCCCAAAAACACAAACCACCAAAGTTTTAAAACAAACGAGACATGAACTTCTTAAACCATAAGAGAGACGAGATTTAGAAACCACCACAGAGACGGAGGACCAAGTGAAGAGTAGACATTTTATTAGCCTGAGTGGAAACATTCTTATACCAACCAGTCTCTTCACAACACTGAGATTAGCTTGCAAACTGTATAGACATTTTATTTCAGTATTGTAAGATTAAATGTTTAGGACTAAAGAAATCCAAATTCACAAAAGAATCTCGCTTCAAAACTGGCTAACTTGGATAATATTGTTCTTCATCACCACAAAAACCTCATTTCAAACTACAAAGCATAAACCACACAAAAAAGCAGGGAGTAGAGATAAGAGAGAGCACCGTCGGACAGCAATCGAGCACTACTCCGCCATGTAAGAACTCCCCTTTCAACGAATTGGTGCTCACATCATACAATCTCACACGCTTAATTGCAGCAAACACACAACAACAGAACAACAAAAAAAAGCTTTAGAAGAAGAAGAGACTTCAATTAAATCAGTAAAAGCCAAAGAAAGGGACCTTATCCCATGAAGAAACGAGGAGTTACTGTTATGGAAAATTGGAGATTGGAAAAGCCGACGGACGGCGGATTCGAGAGCTCACGACCGGCGGACGGAGTTGAAGTCATTTTTCCCGTTGAAAATCACAAATTCTAGGGTTCCGGATGAAATACCTCTCACCCACCATAATTTCACCTTTAATTTCACTCTCCATCATAGGATTCATCGGAAAACAATGCATCACCCTGTGATTTATCGGATTCCGCCATCGCACAAATCGCCCGAGAGAGAGAGAAAGTAGGGCAAAAAAAATCGATGAAAACAAAGTACAAAAGGCCTTATTTTTCTTCCTTTTATTAAAATGCAACAACCAATGAACGACCGCCACGTACCCGTCTCTCTTGTGTTCCCAAATCTCTCCAGAGAGAACCACCTCTCTTCTTAATTTACCTTTTTGATTTATTTTTATTCTAATAAACCAAGAGAACCTCACAAAAATTTGCTTACAACCTCCCATTGGAGGTGCTCTAATGTCTCTCCTCTTGGAATATTTTAGTCAAAGAAATGATAAATTTAAGAATTATTATGTGTGTATTTGTTTAGGAAAACTTTGATGGTGCAGAATAATTTTAGAATTAAATATCTAGTAGTCAAATCATTTAAGATTCATACTGTACTTTATAGGACAACAAATTAATAATTTCTATAATTTTTTGAAGTATTTACTAAAATTAGACAAATATGATCTGTAATTCAAATCTATAACAGAAAGAATGTCAATTAGCAATAATAGATTTTTAGCATAAAAAATCTAAGCTAATGTAATAAATTAATTTGAAAAGTAAGATTTATTAAAAAAAATTGTATAGTATAGAAAAATCCTTTCATTTCATGTCAATCCCCATAGAAAATAAAAGTTGCAGTAAGCTTCAATTTTTTTTTTTTAAGATGGCGAAATTAGGAGAAGCTTCATTTTGTGTCCTTGTTTTGTTCTTGAGTTTAGTGTCGGCAGACACAGATAATCGTCAAGATAACCAAGTATGTTTTTTTTTTTACAAGTATGTTACTATTATAAACAAAGAATAATCAATAAATTTTGTTTCTCCCTATTATAAGATCCATCGTACATGACGCTAACGATGATAATAATCCATGAAGGTGTATGTTGTCTACATGGGTTCACTTCCGTCTCAACCGGACTACAAACCTGTTGGGTAAGCTTCATGAAGATTCTAGAAGATATCCTTAAAGGAAATAGGAATCTAATTAGGAAAAGGAAAAAGTTGTAATCCTAATCTAAAAAGGAAATTAGAATAGGAAATTCATAACTATATAATTAGAGATCATAAGAAGGATGTATGATCATAAGAGAGCGAAGAGAAAGCTTGTGTTTAGTTTTGAGAAGATTTTCTAAACATTAATAAAGGAAGGATTCTTTATACAAACTTTGAGTTTTTGATTCTTTATTTGGTTTCAGAGCAAATCCTGGAGAGAAAAGGAACTCATACGAATCATGGCTGAAGTAAAATCTGAGATCAATACGCTGACTTCATCCTCCGGCGTTAAATGTCCGATGTTGAATACAACAAATTACGCTGTCTGGACATTGAGGATGAAGGCGACATTGAGAGTTCACAAAGCTTGGGTTGCAATTAATCCAGGAACAGATAATGAAGAGAAGAATGACGTTGCAACAGCCTTGTTGTATCAATCCATACCAGAGAGCCTTACCCTGCAAATCGGCGAGCAGGACTCACCAAAAGCGATATGGGAAGCAATAAAATCAAAAAATCAAGGTGTAGAACGCGTCAAGGAAGCTCGTCTCCAAACCCTAATGTCTGAATTTGATCGTCTGCAGATGAAAGATTCAGAGACCATCGATAGCTACTCAGGGAAGTTATCAGAGATAGCATCGACAGCAGCCTCGCTAGGTCAACCTATTGATGCACCAAAGTTGGTGAAAAAGTTTCTAAACAGCCTACCCGCAAACAAGTTTATACATCTCATTGCTTCTCTTGAACAAGTCTTGGACCTAAATAAAACTAGTTTCGAAGACATAACTGGGAGATTTAAAGCTTTTGAGTCTCGTGTAAACGGGCAAGCTGCTGCACAAGAAACTCAGCAAAACCTCTTGTTCTCAAATACGGAAGGAGACAACAGTAGAGGAAGAGGACGTGACAGAGGCAGAGGACGTGGTCGGGGTAACAGAGGCAGAGGACGTGGAAGAGGGAGCTCACAAGACAGAGAACAAAAGGACAGATCTAAAATTATTTGTTTCCGGTGTGAGAAACCAGGTCACTTCGCATCTGCTTGCCCGGTTAAGATTCCAAAGGACCAAGAGCTCAACAAAAACGAGACAGAAGAAGCAGATACAGCCTTGTATATGCACGAAATAGTTTACTTGAATGAAGAGAAGGTAATCCCGGAAAAGTTCGAGTCAAACAAAAGAGAAGATGGAATTCGATCATTTGGATAATTGGTGCAAGCAACCAATAT